TTGCTATATACCCAACAAGTTTCAAAAGCCTTATTGCCACAATTTTTATGACATGTTCAAGGCCAGTGATGTTGAAAGTCTTCTGTTTTGTTTAAGTATGTATCTAGCCGAGTAGGTTCACATTAATTAAAACACACTAAATAATTGTTATTCTGACAAGGCTCACGTTGGAGCAGTTTTAGCTACCCCTTGATTTCATCATCCCCTCTTTCCATGGGAACATTTTACAAGTTCGTGTACAACCTGACAAATCTTATATAATATTGGACTGGAATGGACCAACATAGTTATTATTGATTCATATATCTATACTCCGCCATAGTTGGTAATGATGCATAGTTTGGGAAATATCGAGTAAAAACTTATGATTCACATTTTTTATTTATGTCATGCTTGAGAGATGAAAGTCAATACTGAGGGGGGTGTCCCGGAGTCAAACATTGAAAAAGGATGTGGGTATTTGTTACCTTAGCAAGAAAAAAAAGGGATGTGGGTATGGCTCGATCCAACATGTCTTTGCTTTATTTAATCAGTGTCAACACAATAACCTTGACTTCTGAATGATCCTTTTTTTTATTATACTAGTGTATCTTTGCCCAAGCAAGGAGTTTGAAACTAGCTTTTGGATCCAGAAGGGTTTTTGTGAGATAAAAATGTAAAACATAGGGAGGCAAACATGCGCGATGTCCTCTTAATGCAAGAAGTTTTTGAAATGGGGATTTGAAGATTAAATATGTTGAAGACAAACAAACTAGAGGTGGCTGTTCAGATCTTCTATCCTACCCTCTTTCCTTCTGCGCGTGCAGTATTAACGTTGGTCCATTATGGTACTCCGTAACATTCATTCCTTTCTCAAATCTTATGTAGCCATGTAGGTGGTCATCGGTTAAAAATTACTGAAGGCTGGAATTACACTCCCTTCTTTCACTTGAATGGAAGGTGTAGGACCCTTATCTTCCATGGTTTGTGGCTGAATTTTGAACTGGTGTCATTAACATATATCTTTTCAACCTGATTTTGCTCCTTGTTGAGCAAATGTATTTACCATCTATATCTCACTCAGATTTTTTTTCCACTTATTGCTTCTACCACGAGATTTTTGGCAACTTAGCAGGCCTTTTACTAAGCTTGGTTCTTGTTCTTCCTCAGTTCTCTCTTGCATTAGTGAATAAGTTCATCTGTTAGCAAGCTAGTTGTTGCATTCTTGAGGTTTTGGTAACTGCATGCCTTTTACTAGCTTGCTTTTTGTTCCTCCTCACTCTCTCTTGCATTAGTGAATAAGTTCCATCTCTGAGCAAAAGCTTATTTATTGCATTCTTGAATATTGGTATGTTATGTAATTACTTTGACCTGGCTATTAAGTTGATATTTTTTCATTAAAATGTAGAAATAGCAATAAAGTCTCCACTTGCTGTTATTGGAACAAAAGCTGTGTTGCTGAGAAGTAGGGATTTGACAGTGGAACAAGGCCTGGATTATGTTGCCACATGGAATTCTGGTGCCCTGTTATCAGATGACTTAAAAGAAGCAATTTCAGCACATAGCCAGAAGAGAAAGCCCAAATTTGCTAAACTCTAGTTTGGTAAATCATGGAATTTGAAAGTGTCAATAGATATGCATGTGCGCGAATAAGACTGTCTGTTGGTCGAGTGACTGAGACCGAGGAGACACGGAATGATCCATAAGTGTCTGTCTGACTTTATGAAGAGCTTTTCGTAGAACCTCTATTATGCTTAAGGTCGGCTTGGATATTTCTGTCTTGTGAAATTGTACTAAGTTGTTAGCCTGAGAAAAGATATCGTATGGAAAATCATCTACGTGTTTTTACGTGCTGCCTACATCATACTAATGTTGCAGCATATGTATTGTCATTCTATGACTTGTGTTAACTGACATCTCAACAAAACCAATGTCTAGCTTTAAATTACGTGCATAGTCCTGCTTGCAATTAACGATCAAATGCAGTTGCCTAGTGAGCAAGAATTCTTATGTAGTGTACAAGAGAGTTGTCCTTTCTTCTTTTGTCAATGCTGCTGTGGGTCTCTGTATAGATTATGGTAGAAATGAGAATACCTCTACACTGGCCAATAGAAACACTCCATTTGACTCGTATAGAGTAGTTGTATCGTGTTTAGGTCTGTACTGTTGTATTTTCTTATTGTATGGCGAATTGAGGACGGACCCAAGTATTTTGTCTCTAAGATGTGCATTCTCGTCAAAAGGAAGAATGTACGCGGACGCGTTTTCGAGATAGGAATCGGTATCTAATGAATTCAATGGTTCTAGTATAAATGAAAGAAAAATAAAAAGGAAAGAAATCACAACGAGATCCTAATCTCAAAACAAAAAGAAAGGGGGATATGGCGAAATTGGTAGACGCTACGGACTTAATTGGATTGAGCCTTGGTATGGAAACTTACTAAGTGATCACTTTCAAATTCAGAGAAACCCTGGAACTAACAAAAATGGGCAATCCTGAGCCAAATTTTGTTTTCTGAAAACAAACAAAGGTTCAGAAAAAAAGGATAGGTGCAGAGACTCAATGGAAGCTATTCTAACAAA